CTCGATCCCGGGACTCCAGGATCATGACCTGAGCCGAAGGCAGTCGCTTAACCAACTGAGCCACCCAGGCGCCCAAGAGGGTGTCAGGATTTAAAAGGTGGTTACAGAAGGGTGAAGACTAAAAAGGATGCATTGGATTTAAGGACACAGGTGGTTTCTGTACAGACTTATAGGTGGAGTCAGGAGAATTAATTAAAATTCAGGCTAGAGGGGCGCCTGGGTGGCTCAGTCGTTAAGCGTCTGCCTTCGGCTCAGGTCATGATCCCAGGGTCCTGGGATCGAGCCCTGCGTTGGGCTCCCTGCTCTGCAGGAAGCCTGCTTCTCCCTCTCCCACTCCCCACTGCTTGTGTTCCCTCTCTCGCTGTCTCTCTCTGTCAAATAAATAAATAAAAATCTTTAAAAAAAAAAAAAAATTCAGGCTAGAATGGGCTGAGAAGTGGACAGTGAGGATGTGGGACTGCACATAGAAGACGTTCAAGGAGTTGGGTATGGGCTACCTCCTGCTTAGTGGATTGTAGGAAGGTAGGCACCATCTTATGGTGATGAGTCTTGTACCTAACTTGACTATAGCTATATAAGTGATAAATCATATTCTTGTGAACAGGGGTTCAGCTTGCCGAAGACGATGGCCACTCCCACATGACACAAGGCCATTCATCGAGGTCAAAGAGAAGTAGTGCCTACCCGAGCACCAGTCGAGGTAAGCACTAGGCAGATCACAGCTAGTGGCCACTTTAGGTAGTGAGATGGGAGCTATACTAGGTAGTGAGATGGGAGCCGTACGTACATATTGGTAAATCTCTTACATTTTATATTCACACCATCATCTCAGAAGTCCCACTCTTACTTCGCACAGGGACTAGGGAGTATTTACATTTGGGGTTTCTTTTAAGGTCTGAAAACCATGCCTGAAACCAAAAAGTCAACCCATCGGCGGGGAATTTGTGAAGATGAATCTTCCCACGGGGTGATAATGGAAAAATTCATCAAGGATGTTTCACGCAACTCCAAATCGGGACGGGCCAGGGAATCTAATGATCGGTCACAGAGGTTCCCCAGAAGACCAGACAATGATTGGAAAGAAGTTTCATTCAACAAGAGGGAGTCGGTGATTCAGGAGAGGGGCTATGAAGGGAATGCCTTTGGGGGAAGCTATAATTTTAACTCGAGTCTTGTTTCCAAAAAGAGAGTTCTTGAAAGAAAAAGGCGCTATCAGTTTGACACAGATGGGAAGGGCTCCGTTCATGAGCAGAAAGGCTATGCAAGGAAGAGACCTTTTGAATGTAGTGAAATGAGAAAAGCCATGAGCATGAGCAGCCTTAGCGCCCCCTCCTTCACTGAGTCACACCCACTTGATTTTGGGGCAATGCCTTATGTGTGTGATGAGTGTGGGAGGTCTTTCAGTGTGATTTCAGAATTTGTCGAACATCAGATCATGCATACTAGAGAGAATCTCTATGAGTATGGTGAATCGTTTATTCATAGTGTGGCTGTCAGTGAGGTTCAGAAAAGTCAGGCTGGGGGGAAACGCTTTGAATGTAAAGAGTGTGGGGAAACCTTCAATAAGAGTGCCGCTCTTGCCGAACATCGGAAAATTCATGCTAGAGAGCATCTTGCAGAATGTAATGATGAGGAGTATGAGGAGCCCTTCATGCCTAGCCCAACCTTCAGTGAGCTTCAGAAAATATATGGAAAGGATAAATTCTATGAATGTAAGGTGTGTAAGGAAACCTTCCTTCATAGTTCTGCCCTGATTGACCACCAGAAAACCCATGGTAGAGATGACAAAGATAATGAGCGTGGGGAAGCCTTTAAACCCAGCCCGCCCCTTAATGAGGTTCAGAAAATGTATGGTAAAGAGAAAATGTATGAATGTAAGGTGTGCGGGGAGACCTTCCATCATTGCTTATCCCTGAAAGAACATCAGAAGATCCATACTAGAGGAAACCTATTTGAAAATAAGGGTAAAATGTGTGAGGAAACCTTTATTCCTGGTCAGTCCCTTAAAAGGCGTCAGAAATCTTACTCAAAAGAGAAGCTCTATGACTTTAAAGATGGTGGGGATGCCTTTAGGCAAAGCTCAGACCTCAGTGAGCATCAGAAAATTCATTCTCGAAAGAACCACTATGAAGGCAGAGGGTACGAGAAGTCTGTCATTCATAGCGTGCCCTTCACTGAATCTCAGAAGAGTCATACTATAACAAGACCACCTGAAAACGAGGACGAGAAGGCGTTCACCATCAGCTCTAACCCTGATGACAACCAGAAGATTCCTACTAAAGAAAATGCGTGTGAGAGGAAACCATATGAGAGGTCTGTTATTCATAGCTTAGCCTTTGCTAAAGCTCAGAAAAGTCACAGTGCAGTGGGGCCCAGTAAATCACAAGTGATTGCAGCGTCTACCCAGACCTCAGGTGTTATCGAACATCAGAAAGTCCATGCCGGAGAGAATTCCGAAGGAAAGAAATATGAGAGGTCTGTTATCCATAGCTTAGCTGCTTTCAAACCTCCCAAAAATTACAATGGAAATGAAGTCGTTGAATGTGATGAAAAGGGAGAATCCTCTACTTACATCTCAGACCTTCGTGATAAGCAACAGAAAACTCCTGCCAGAGAGAACCCTTATGAAGGGGCTAAGAGTAACAACTACAAGGACTCCGTTATACAAAGTGTATCCCGTATCGAACCTCAGAAAAGTCTTACTAGTCCCGGGTCCAGTGAATCGTCTGTTCCCAGCTCAAATGTCCGCGAACATCAGAAGGCTCGTGCTAAGAAAAAAAACATTGAGCGTAGGAACTATGAGACCTCTGTAATTCACTCCCTACGTTTTGGCGAACCTCAAACATTTCGCCCTAGAGAGAAATTCTATGAATGTCCAGAGTGTGGAGAATCCTTTGTTCGTAGCTCCGACCTCACTGAGCATCAGAAGATTCACGATAGAAAGAAGCCCTCTGGAAGTAAAAACTATGAAAGATCTGTAATTCGCAGCTTAGCCTCTACTGACCCTCAGACAAGTTATGCTGAACAAGCACAGACAAGTTATGCTGAACACCCAGGGCAGATGAGATACTCTGAACAGCCAGCACAGACAAGTTACACTAAACAACCAGCACAGGCGAGTTATACTAAACAAGCAGTGCAGGCGAGTTACGCTAAACAACCAGCGCAGACAAATTACATTGCACACCCAGTGCAGATAAGTTACTCTGAACACCCAATGCAGATGAGTTATACTAAACAACCACCACAGATGAGTTACACTAAACAACCAGTACAGATGAGTTATGCTAAACAACCATCACTGATGAGTTACGCCGAAGAGCAAGCACAGACGAGTTATGCTCAACAGCAAGTGCGCAATAAATGTAAAGAGTGTGGGGAATGCTTTGCCACCATTGAAGAGCTTGGTGCACATCAGAAAATCTATGCCCGAGAAGAATTCCATGGTCGGAAGCTCTTTGGAAACTCTGTTATTCAGGGCACAGGCCTTGATGGGCCTCGGCAGGTAGAGCCTCGGCAGGAAGAGCCTCGGCAGGATGAGCCAGATGAGCAGGACGAGCAGGATGAGCAGGATGAGCCTGAAGACACAATCTATGGATGTAAGGATTGTGGGCTGGGCTTTGCAGATCGCGCAGACCTTAAGGATCATCAGAAGGTTCATGGCAGAGAGTATCTCATCGACAGTCGTGAGTACACACATTCTGTAATCCATACCCATTCTGTCAGTGAATATCAGAAAGATTATATTGGAGAGCAGCTCTATGAATGCCCTGCATGTGGGGAATCTTTTGTTCATAGCTCATTCCTTTTTGAGCATCAGAAAATCCATGAGCAAGATCAATTCTTTGGCCATAGAAGGTATGAGGAGCCTTTTATGCAACCCTTGGTCATTAACCCACGGAGGCCTCGTGCCCCACAGAAGAATCCTCCTGCAGGAACATCCCTTCAATGCCACGTGTGTGGACAAGACTTCATTCATGGCTCTGTCCTTAGTGAACATATGAGAATTCATACTGGAGAGGATTTACCGGAGCAGGGCCAGGGAAGTGAAGATGCAGTCAGTCCAGGCTTAGCCCTTACTGAGTTTCAGAGAAGTCAAACCGAAGAGAAACACTATGAATGTAAAACATGTGGAGAATCCTTCCTCAATCAGTCAGACCTTAGGGAGCACATGAGAATTCATGAGAAAGATGAGCCCTATGATTATGGGGCCTCCTTCGTTCACACCTCATTTCTTACTGAGCCCCCTAAAAGAGATTCACCATTCTATGAATGCAAGGACTGTGGGAAGTCCTTCATTCATAACACAGTTCTCACTAAACATCAGAAGCTTCATCTTGAAGAGGAAGAAGAAGAAGGAGCCCAGGAGGTTGAAGCCAATGTCCTTGTTCCACGAGAAGTTCTTCGGATCCAGGGATCAAACGTAGAAGCTGCTGAGCCAGAGGTGGAGGCTGCTGAGCCAGAGGTGGAGGCTGCTGAGCCTAATGTGGAGGCTGCTGAGCCCAATGGAGAGGCCGAAGGGCCAGATGGGGAGGCTGCGGAGCCAAATGGGGAGGCTGAACAGCCCAACGGAGAGGCTGAACAGCCCAATGGAGATGCTGATGAACCAGATGGTGCAGGGATAGAAGACCCAGAAGAAAGAGTTGAAGAGCCAGAGGGAAAGGCTGAAGAGCCAGAGGGAGATGCTGATGAGCCAGATGGGGCAGGGATCGAAGACCCAGAAGAAGAAGGTGAAGATCAAGAGATTCAGGTTGAAGAACCATACTATGACTGTAGGGAATGTGGAGAAACCTTCACTTCCAACTCAGCTTATGGTGAGCACCTGAAAACCCATGCCAGAGTGATAATATTTGAGCCTGGAAATGTCTATGGGGAAAGCTCACGCTACACTGAACATGCCAGCACCAGCACTAGTGGCAACGATAGGGCTGATGACAAGTACTTCAAATGTGATGTCTGTGGGCAGCTTTTCAGTGATCGCCTTTCCCTTGCTAGACATCAGAATACTCATACCGGCTGAGAACACGAGTATAAAGTTTAGAAAACCTTCATTTAGAACTTGACCCCTACTAAACCAGAGACTTCAACCCATAATAATGTCAGAAGAAAACTTACCTTGGCATGTACGCACCTGACTTTTAATATCAGACAACTCAGACTAAAAGGAGACCGAAGGTGGAAACTCCTTTGGTTTTAGCTCTCCTCCATCACACATCAGTGTATGCATGTGGGAAAGCTATAGCACATACCTTTCGTCTGAGTAATCTATTGAGGGAAAATCCCAGAAGTTTTTGAGATTGCAGAAATTGCCCAGTCAAATGTAAATGACACTTCTATAACCTATATATAATGTTCCCTGCAATGTATATAAAATAGCATATCATAGCAAAACAGTAATCACATATATTTGGATTTGATATGATATACAGTTACAGTTTACTGTGCAGAAGTACCTTACCTGGTACTCTGATTTTTTTTTTTTTTTTTTCTTTTTTGGAGGAGGAAGAGAGCAACAAATTAGAATATATTTCTAAGTATCTTAGATTCTGAGAAAGACTTATTGTGCATTATTTGAACCCCATCAGTATCGTTTTGAGTAATTGTGTATTGTTCCTTACCCTTAAGTATTCCTGTAAAAGTGTAAGCATGAAAGGTAAAATGTCTTTTATTCTTTGCTGTTTGAAAAGAGAAGTACTTGGAACTTCCTTTTCAGCCTTTTTGTCTACACCAACACTTTGGAACCTAATGCTGTGTAAGCCTTTACAATATGTGGATTGGCCTTTTGTGACCCAAAGTGGTTGGTTGCCACATTGTACCTTGCAGTGATTCTCATGCAAAAATATTACGAGTTTTTTTTTTTTTAACCAACTTGATGTGTGTTTGATAGTGAATTTATAAAAGCTGAAGCTTTTCCCTATAAATCTTATGCTTTTGCCTTTAAAGAGTGGGTTGTAACCATCACTAGATCACAGTAGTGCCTACTGATGATTGAGAACCAGAGGGAGAGGCTTTCATGTTGTAAATAAGGATGCAGGCTTACAATTTCCATCACTTCCTTTGTGCGCTTCCTGCCTTAAGTGACAAGTAGCAGCGTGGCTTCATTAGTATTATACGGCCACAAATCAGTTTGCACCCTGGGTGCCCAGGAGCTAGTATCCTTAGACCTTTCTATCACTTAATTCTCGTCTTCACCTGTCTGACCCTCCACCCCATGTCTAACTTGCATTTTAAAAATTTTAAAAAAGCTTTCTTTACAGTCAACTTAAGCTTAACATGGACTCAGGTTCCCCAGCAGCCTTAATTTGTTTCCTTACCATCTGTTCCTCCCTCTTTCAGCCCTTCTAAGTATTTCCGAGCTATCCATTAGTGTCACGTTTGTCCGATCACCTCAGTTTTCCACTTAATCACAAATTGACCTCATAGCTTGAGGTTTCCTGTGTCCTGTTCTGTGGACCACCTGTGCTCCTTTTGCTTCCCCTCCTCTTGCATAATGACTATTAAATTTTTTGGCTTTGAGTTGGCTGGAAAAAAAAAATTAAAAAAAAAATTTAAAGTGGATCTGTAGATTAAGTGAGCAAAAGATAACAGCAGATAATTTGAGCAAGCAAAATTAATATACCTGCTGGGGGAATGTGTCTAAATCTCACTCTCCTAGATCCGCGTGGTTGGGGCTTGGAGAGTGTATGTCAGAGCTGCAGGGAATGCCAAAGTCGAGGGAGGTTGTACTGTTGAAAGCATGAAGCAGAAATGAGGAAGCCAAAGAAGGGAGTCCTAATATATCACCAGATCTAGGAGGCTAGGAAGCAGACAGAAGGAAATATGGGAAGCAAGGCTTAGAAGACCAGGTTGGTAGGAATGAATTGAGCAGGAAGTCCTGGGCAGTTAAGAAGGGGCCTTTTCGGTGTAGGTGAGGGCCAGCTGCATAGAAAGACCTGAGGTTGGAATGGACATTCAAGGAGCATTGAGGCCCCCCATCACAGGAGGACCTTTTAGATGGGAACCAGCATTGATGTTATTGGGGTGAATTTGGGTTTATCACTGTTGGCAGTATTAAACAACTTGCCAAACCCATTGCCAAGGTGCCCATTCCAACCTTATGTTAGTGAAAAATTAGGAACAACGTAAATGCCAAACAGTACGAGAATGATTACATGAAGGTATCCATGGACTGTCATGCAGCTGTTTAAAAATGATAATCATGAAGAGTTATGTAGCAACATGGAAATATATTTACGGAATATTGAGTGGAAAAAGCAGGACACAGAATTATATTTATACTACAGTTATAACTGATTAAAAATGTATGCTTATAGTCAAAAGCTGTTGTGTTGTTGTTGTTGTTGTAGGCTTATAGTTGAGCATTATTTTCTTAAATTCTTTGAATGTTCTTTATGGTAGTGTTACTAAAAAGTTTATAATCACATTTCCATTGTGAACATAATTTGAACTCATTATCAGACACTTGGAAAATACAGAAAAGTGGAGGAAAAAAATCCATATTCCAACCATCCAAAGACAGATATACTCTTCAACATCTTGTTTATTCTTGTTTCTGTGCACAGGTTTATGATTATAACTGTGTCCAAATGTGTATTCAAAATAGCTGTTATGTTATCTTTGTGGAATTATGGTTAAATACTTTCATCTTAATGTCTTCAAATGTTTCTTATAATAGTGTTCTGCTAACAAGGTTTATTATGTTTTTTTACATTACAAGCATAATACATACCCAGAGGAAAAATTGGAAAATACACTAAATTAGAAAAGAGAAAAAAGTCACCCATATTCCCAACACACAACAACTACTGTTAACATCTTGATCTGTTTCCTCCATCTTGTTTTAGTGCACAAGCCTGTGATTATAATGGTGTTAAATATGTATGCATAAAGTCTAAAATGAAAAAAAATATGGAAAATAATTAAAATAGTGTTGTCATTGTGGGATTATGGTTAAATATATTGTCTCAAATTCCTTGAATGACCTTTGGTGTTTTGGTATTAAATCTTATGTATGTATTTCTCCATTACAAATATAATACATACTCATAGCAAACTTTGGAAAATTCAGCAAACTAGAAGAAAAGAAATTCACCCATACTCCCAACACCCAGCAACAATTGCTGTTAACATCTTGATCTGTGCACCAGTCTATGATAATTAGGGTGTTAATGATTAAGTATATATAGAGTCAAAGATGGGAAGAAATATGGAAGACAGTTAAATAGTTGTGTGGTTGTTGTGGGATTATGGTTAAATATTTTGGTTTCCTCGAATGGTCTTTATCATAGTGTTTGGTAATCCACCTTTATCGCATGTATTTCCATTATCAACACTGTATGTGTTCTTTATAGAAACTTTGAAGTTGCAGAAATGTAGAAGAGAAACTCGCCCATATTTTCACCATCCAAAGACTGTGGTTAACATCTTGATATATTTTCTTCATCTTGTTTCTGTGCACAGGTTTTTGGTTTGATAATATGGTTGTGGTTGTTCTATCTATCTGTAATAGTGTCAACAATAAAAATAAAGTTAAAAATAAGATATTTGTCAGTCTCTTCTCTTGTCCATTTTAAGTGTTTGGGGTTGGTAAATGCAGTTTTTTGTTACAACTAGAAAGCCAAAAGCTTAGTGCCTCCTTAGGCCTTTAAGTTTGGCTTATGAGTCTTAGTACATTTTTAAGTATTTATTTCAACAATTCCTTCTAAGAGATATCTTAATATACTATAGGATTCCACATTTTTAAGTGCACTGCTATGTATTCCAATAGTGTTTTTAAACTTGATAATAAACAGAAGTATATTTCAGTTACTTGAGTCAGCATTTTAATTTCTAATCTCAAATATGAGATTCTCTCAAGCAAAAAAACTACAAACAAGAGTGATCCCTTAACATAAAAATGTTAATACTATGGTTTTGAATCTCTTTATTATGATTATTTTTTAAGATTTTATCTGACAGAGAGAGAGCGCACAAGCAGGGGAAGCAGCAGGCATAGGCAGAGGGAGAAAGAAGCAGGCTCCCCACTGAGCAGGGAGCCCCATGTGGGGCTCAATCCCAGGACCTTGAGTTAATGACCTGAGCTGAAGGCAGATGCTTAACTGACTGAGCCACCCAGGTGCCCCTAGAATCTCTTTAAAGTGTCTATTCCTAACTCTTTCTTGAGGTTAAAAGTTTTCAGGGGAGTAATTTTCCTTATTTTAACCTGACTTTACCACCCGAAACATCTCATGCAATTTGGTAGGTTACCATCCCAGGTAAATTGGGAGGTAATTTTCAAACATGCCTGTAATTCCATTATGATCAGAGATTTTTGGCCAGGTTGCTAACTGGATCACTATTGGCTACAACTGTGGTTTGCATCATACCCAATTTGGAATTGCTGTGTCCTTGACTCCATGACACAAAGGAGGTGGTTAGATACTTGACCCCTTCTAATCTGCATGTCACACGATTGGATTCTACTCCTTAGGATCTAAAAATGTGGTTTTCATTTAATTCTAACTACTCTGGAATTTGACAGTGGCAGAATCCCGGGTTCTTTTATTAACTTATTTATATTAAAATGAAAGCCTATTGAATTATGGTTATCTCTTGGTCACAGCTTTGATGGCCCTTCTATGGTAAGGGGTATCAGCATAGTTCAGGATGAGAGGGTCAGTTCTTTTAAGATTGATTTCCTGAAGAGTATATTACAAAAGGAAATACAGAAAGGGAATTAAGTGAAGGTCATTTGGGGTTGCCTGACCAGCACTTTCACTCTTCAGGAATTCCTCCACTGTGTGTTAGTTGTAGAGGTAACCATGCCCCAGCTACCATGTTTATTCCATGAAATTTGACTCCCCCCACCCCCCTGGTCTCAGCTGATTGGCGCTCTTGGGTTCCCAGTGTGCAGTCAGACTCAGACTAAGGGCTACGTGAGACATCATAGGTTGAGGCTGGGTGTGCTGATGAACAAACAGGTCTGGAATAAGGCCATATAGCTGGAAGGGAGCTTGGCTCCTGGCACTTCATCCACCCCAGTACCTTGTGGGTCCTGGCTGAACTGCTCACTTTGGGGTTTCCTAAGAACTCCTGTATCTTTAACCTTCCTTTCACATGAGCTGGCTTTGTTATTGAGGGAGTTTTTGCTGTTCCATTGAGGCAAAAAATCTCTTCCCCTTTCTGGAGACTACTGGGTTTTATGGGAATGCCATGGTGCCCTGCCCAAACCTCAACCAAAGGCTGAGCCTGGTGCCTGTTGGGCTCCCTGAGCAGAAGGACACACAGAAGTCATTCCAATGGTAGCACTGACTGTTAATAGTTCCTGTACAGATAGAGCTGTTCTGGTAACTGTCCTTCTTGAGAACTGTTTAGTTTGTTCTTTGATTCTCTGGGCTACCCATTATCCTTCCAGTCTATTCATTATTTCCTTTACTTGGCCAGTGTTAGTTATTTGCAACCCAAAAGAGCCCTAACTGATAGAGAAGTTGATACCAGAGAATGGGTTGGAGATAATAAACCTGAGGGAAATGTGAATACTTTGAATTCAAATTTGGGCCTTGGGGTGGAAAATTAGAAGACCAAGGCATGTGGTAGTAAAATATCTAAATATTGCTTGTGGTTGGCCTTCTGGAGTCACCTGCTTCCTGGGGTGAAGGGCTTTATAATAGCTGTCATGATAGACAAATTCAGAAACTATGAGTGTCAAGATCAGAGGTGTAGAAGGGTTTCTACAAACACCTTGATCCTGCAGGTCACTGACTTATTCAGCTAAATTGATAGCCTTGCTCTATTTGTAACATGAAAAGTTTGGGTGGCCCTAGAGAAACAGGATCCTGGCAGTTGAAATGATGGTATGTAGGAGACTTGGAAAGATTTAGACAACTGAAGTTCCAACCCCTTTGAAACACTTCTCATTTTATCACTTCCCTCCCACACAAGAGAAAGTTGATGGGGTGCCTGTGGGAGGGGCAGCAGTTGAAATGCTCTATGATCTCCATGGTGATGGGAGGAACCTGAGTGTTGAAAAGGGGGCCACTTCTCATAGCAGACATGGCTGGTGTAATGCAAACCTAGGGGGAGTGGACACAGAAACTTGGGTGTGATACCCTCCAAATTATTTATATGACAAAATAAGCTAAAATGTAGGTTAAAAAGAGGTGGACGAGGACCACCCTACTGGAGTCACAACCTCCTTGAGTCCAGAGACCTTTGAGGAAGGACTCTGCTATGTCTGACACTTCTGCCTTCCACCTAGCAAAGGGACCTGTAGCCTTTTACATAGGTAGTCCATTTGTGGACAAAGAAAACTTCCAAGGACTAGTGGATGTTGCACCTAAACAAACATTATTGGGAGATCAGAACATTGGTGACTTGAAGAGCAATTAAAAATATAATATGCTGTCTGTGGGCAAGCCAGCTACTGAGAACTGGGTTCTGCACATCTTAGTTACACCTTCCAAATTCTTCACTTGATTTAAGTCACTCCTCCCCTAGGAAAGCATGAGTGAGAAAGAAGCCAAGACTGGTTCTATATCCACCCCACACCAGCCAGAAATCTGGGGGCAGGTGCATCACACTGAGCCCCTTTTATCATTGAGAGGGCAATGTTTTATCCTCAATGGAACAGAAACTTGTTCTGGATTTAGACTTTTCTTTCTCTGCCCACACACCTCTTCTCAACATTTGTGGGCTTGCTGCATGCTTCATACACCACTTTTGTACTATATGTAGCAGTCATCAATCGCAATAATGCTGCATAACAACCAACCATGAAACCTGAATAACACACAATAAATATTTGTTTCTCATACATCTAGGATCAGCTCAGGATTGGCTAGGAGGCTCTAGTTATCTTAGCTAGGCTTGTTCTCTTGCCTGGGGGTTGGCTAGCTGCCAGCTAATGTAGGCTAATTATAGTTGGGGGTGGGAGGCTCTTAGCTACATGTCTCTTATTCTCCCGAGACAAGTGGACTACTTCCTTATGGTGATAGCAGAAGTAATCATCTTTAAAAAGCTAAGTGAGTTAGGGGTGCTGGCTGACTCAGTTGGAGGAGTGCGAGACTCTTGATCTCTGGGTCGTGTGTTCAAGCCCTACGATGGGGATAGAGACTACATAGAAAAATAAAAACATAAAATCTTAGGGGCACCCAGGTAGCTCAGTTAAGCGTCTGCCTTTGATTCAGGTCATGATCCCAGGGTCCTGGGATCAAGCCCCATTTCGGTCCCTCTGCTTAGCAGGGAGCCCACTTCTCCCTCTCCTTCTGCCTACCACTTCATCTGCTTGTGCTCTCTCTCTCTTCTCTCTGTCAAATAAATAAAGAAAATCATTTATATATATATAAAAGTTCAGTGAGAAGAGAACATGGATAGACAGCTCAATGAAATCAGGAAAGTGATACAACAAACAATATCAACAAAGACATAGAAACAAACAAAACCCAAACACTGAATCTGAAGAATACAAAAACAGAACTGAAAAATACATGAGTGGGGGGGGCGCCTGGGTGGCTCAGTCATTAAGCATCTGCCTTCGGCTCAGGTCGTGATCCCAGGGTCCTGGGATCGAGCCCTGCATCGGGCTCCCTGCTCGGCAGGAAGCCTGCTTCTCTCTCTCCCACCCCCCCTACTTGTGTTCCTGCTCTCGCTATCTCTCTGTCAAATAAATAAAGTCTTAAAAAAAAAAAAAATACACGAGTGAGGTTCAAAAGCAGACTTGACCAAACAGAAGAAAAAAATGAGTAAACCTGAAGACAAAGTCATTCAAAATGATTCAGAGGAACAAAAAGAATGAAAAATAGTGAAGACAGACTAAAGGACTTATAGGACTTCAAAAATGAACAAAAACATACATAATGTGAATCCCGGGAAGGGAAGGGAAGGAAAGGGAAGGGGAGAGGGAGAGAAGCAGAAAACCATTCTAAGGAAATAATGGCTGAAAATTTCCCAATTCTGGGGAAGCAAATTAATATCCAGACTCATGAAGCTCAAAGAATTCCAAATAGATTGAATTTTAAAAGACCTACACCAAGACACAAAATAATCAAGTTCTCCAAAACCAAAGAAGAGACTTGCCACAAACTAGATGGCCCCAGATTTCTCTGTAGAAGCCTTGCAGGCCAGAAGTAAATGGGATGACAGAGTCAAAGTGCTGAAAGGAAAAAACTGCCAATCAAGAATACTATACCTGACAAAGCTGTCCTTCAGAAATGAAGGAAGATAAGGCTTTCCCAGATAAGGCTTTCATCACCACTAGACCTGCCTTACAAGAAATGCCAAAGACAGTTCTTCAAGCTGAAATGAAAAAAGACACTAATTAGCAGCATGAAAATAGATGGTTATAAAATTCACTGATAAAGGTAAGTATATAGTTAAATACACAATACTCTAATACTATGTTATGGTGGTGCATAAATCACTTTCAATTTTTGTATAAAAGTTAAAAGACATAAGCATTAAGAAATAATTATAATGACAATAACTTAGGTAGTCCATATAAAAAGATGTAAATGATGATATCAGTCACAAAATGCATGGGGAAGAGTGAAAGTATAGAGTTTT